GCTGAACCGCTGTTGAGACTCACTTGGATTGCGGTGTTCCTGTTTTGATAGTAGCTGTGTCTCCCCCGGGTGGCCTGGTCTGTTCCACGAACCACGCCATCGCCAATTGCCATCCAAAAGCATCGACGAGCCATGGCCCATGATGGGGTATTCTTACTGTTGGTAAAAAATAATATATCCCGATAACCGGCTGACATGCACGGCCTATACAAATCGTACGTGGTGTCGGCACTCCGCAGTCGCCTAGTGTGGCGCAGGCGCACCGACACCCTCGGATGGGCTGGGTAGATTTGGACGAGCTGCTGATACCTGTGGGCTGTGGTAGAGAGCCAGGAAGTACTCCTACTTACCAGTAGCAAACAAAGGCCTCGACTGGCACGAGACAAGTCTGTGATTGTTCCTGTCGCATCGCATCGGCGGTGCGGACAGGAGGTGGGCCCGGGGTAAAAGACCGAGCGAATCAAACGACGGTAACTAACGGCAGCACAACACCTGCCAAATTGCGTTAAAAAAAATCAACTGACGGTGAATGAAAAAAAAACTTAAGCACAGCTTGTCCCAACCCACCAAACGGATATAAGCCTAGAATTATTGGAATGGGCACGATCCGCGTGCAATCAATCATTTCATCCTATACGTGGTTTCGAATGATAGCGTCGTGGAGCGTAGTGCGGCCAGACAAGCGATGATCAACGTTAGCCTGCTGCCTCAATCTATCGGGCGTCCCTGGCTGCCGACCTGGCTGGCGTGCAGCCGCCAGCCGACCCCCCTCCCCTCAAAAAAAAAAACATCCTCCCCTCACTTCCTTCATCTAGTTGGGCTGAATTCAATTATATTCTTGGACCTTCAGTGACTTTCCGGCACACCGCGCACCCAAACCAAGCAGCACCCATGTACTACAGCCAAAAATGCTGATGTCACCATATCCCATGCTTCTTCAAGTAAAAAAAAGTCGTAGCTCCTAAACTAAGTGTCTTAACTAAAATCTGATTGCACCATCGTGTTCCTTGCAATAAAATCTTCAAAACAAGACCTCACATGCATACATTTCGATATTTTTTAATGAACATTTATCTCATGATGAATATCTATTTAAAGATTAATCGCCGAACATCACATTAACACTACATAAACATCACAAAAAATAGCATAGAACATCATATGTATACTATGTGAACTATATAATGAAATAAAAATAATAAAATTAGTGAAGTAATTAATTATAGTCAAATAAAAAGAAAAAATGCTACCGAACATAACAAATACATCGTAGAACATCACATTAACACTACACAAATATCACTAAATATAGCATAGAACATCATATATATACTACGTGAAACATCACTAATATCACGAAAATGTAAAATAAAATAATAAAATTAGTGAAGTAATTAATTAGAGTCAAATAAAAAAAAACTACCGAACATTACAAAATATATCCTAGAACATCAATGTATGTGTACTGAACATCACAAAATACATCGTAGAACATCACATTTCTACTCACAGAGATAAAAAAATACATAATAGAACATCGCATGTGTACTACGTGAACATCACATGTATACCACGTGAATCACATGTATCATGAAATATATAACAAAAATAAAATTAGTAAAATAATTAATTAGAGTCAAATAACACAAAGAAAAGATGCAAAATAAAAATACGAATAACAAAATAAAATAGAAAAATGAAAACCAAAATTAAAAAATCTACATCAAACATAAAAGAGAAAAGAGAAGTAAATAGAAGAAAAGAAAAAAACATGAAAACAGAAAATGAAATAAAAAATAGTTAATTGGGTAAAAATAAAAAATGAATAAAGTAAGGATAAGAATAAAAAGGTGAAAAGACAAATTAAAAAATCACATAATAAAAAGAAAAAAATAAAAATAAAAAAGAAATCAAAGAAGGAAAGAAAAAATACATAAAGGAAATAAAAGAAAAATAAAAAATAAAAAGAAGAATAAAACAACATAGAGAAAAGGAAAAGAAAAAGAAAAAGAAAAAGGAAAACTAAAAGAAATAGAAAAGAAAAAAAGAAAAAAAAAACTCAACTACCTAACCACCTACGAGGCTACTACTCCGTATGACGGAACGAAACAACGTACTTGAGTACGTCGGACGTCAACGCTCTGCATCGTCGGCTGTTGCTCTGCGTGGGCTGCTCTGCGCTGACTGCGTGGGCTGCTGCTGGGCCGGCGCGCGCTCCCGTGGGCCACAATCGCGAGCGTAGGACCGACTCTGCATAAAACTTCTCCGCGGGCCTACCAACAAATCCCACGCTCCATCATTGTGGTGATTCGGCCCATCTGATTCCAACTCAAGGACTGAATCCACTGGTACCTCAAATGCATGCTTCTACAATGGATAAACACATACTACATGTGAAGACATGCAGGGGGAACTGTTACTACATATACTCATTCTTATCTCAAATATGAGGGATCCCTGCCTTTTTTTTTTGAAAGGAGATAATACTCTGTTCTTAGGAAAGCAAATCATATGAATACGGATCCTTGTAATTTACTGGATGGGTATCATGTACATACCATAAGCTGACAAGAACACCTATTTTTAGATTCTTTTTTTGAGAAGAGCACCTATTTTTTTTTGGATATAGGCAACTGAAGCTGTTACAGTTAGTTTTAGCCCACAAATATGGAGGTACTGCAAATTAACAATTTAACATGTATAAAAAAACATAGTCATAGTTCCTGTGTTGTTCAAGAGTGCTGAATTTTGATTGATTGCACACATTGTCGTGGAATGTGCTCCACTCTACCTTCAGAGAATTCATCAGCGAGGACAACCTTCAATTCATACCCCCGCCCCACCCCACCCATTGAAGACAACCTGTACTCCGAGCTGTGAAGTGCTTGCTTGATCAATAGAGCATCCGATTCAACAATAATTCGCTGGATACTCAGAGTCTGTGCTGCTCTTGCTCCCTGAATGCATGCCATCAGTTCAGCCTGCCGTGCCTCATATACATGATTCAACTTTCCTGCACAAGCCAAAACGACCTCGTCATTCTCCTCTCTAATAATAAAGCCCCAGCTTCCTTCCCCACACTCCTGTGCAAACCCTCCAGCATTGATCTTCAGAAGCCCTGCTGGTGGTCTCTTCCATCTTGGAATCTATTGGTTTCCTCGGGTACCAGGGTGCACCTTTGTCAGTTCTTTGAATTCTTCAGATGGACGCCATGTGAGCCACGCCAACTCCTGTGGACTCCTGCTTTCACCCCCTCTCACTCGGTTTCTCTCCCACCACAAGTTATTCAGCAGCATTGCAAGCAGGCTTCGTTTCTCATTCGGCAGCGCCAATAGCAGCTCGACGCACTGTTTCACGTCCATCAAAGTGCTTAGCTGCTCCCTGACAGACTCCCAACCCAGCTCCCGCCAAAGCTTCCTTGCCCATTTGCACTTGAAGAAAAGGTGAGCTCCATCTTCATCATATCTCTGACCAATAAAACAGCTTGTATCCAATTCCATGCCTCTCCTTTTTAGGTTGCATTTGAGAGCCAGGGAATTGTTTGCAAACCTCCAAAGAAAATGTTTTATTCTATTTGGGCACTGGATCTTCCAAATACTTCCCCACAGCCCACTCCTCTCCACTGAACTGCTAATATTATGGAGATAACATATCTGTCTTAGTATCGCCATATATGGGTTCTTTACCTAGTCATTTCCATATATGGTAATCAATGACTTCAATTTTTTCCCTTGGCCAAGTAATTTAAACGGATACACATACACCAAAGGCTCATATCTACTGATCTATCTAGCAAAAACACTAGATAGGCGCGGCAACGCCGCAACCATGGTTTTCTAGTCTTAATGGAAAGGTCAAAATTCCTTAGGGCTAGTTAGGTTAATCCCTTCCCCATGGGGATTGAGGGCAAATGATCACAATACCTACTCCCTTCAAGCCCCCTACATTCCTACAAACCCAAAAGTCCCTGTGGCGGGAATTCAATAGAGGTCTTGCACAGGTATGGTTAATGAAAAGGAAAAGACAAGATAATAAACTTGCTAAGCACAGAGCATGCTAAGTCATGAATTTCAACTCCCCAAGACAGTTTCCTGTTTACTGGAGCGAAACAGTGCAGATGGTACACACTCTTTGCTGGAGCAAAACAATTTCAAACAGCAAACAACATCAACCAGGAAGGAGGGCATATAAACAATGGTAGAAGTAAATATGTAATAAGGACCATAAGTGACAAAATTATGTACAAGAGTCAGCAAAACCATGAGTTTATTGCACGCATACATGGACTGGTTCTCATAAGACAAGAAAGCATTGCAGCAAGAATGAAGAATCTTCAGGAAAATAGCAGAATTTTAATAAGGAACAGGAAGGAAGCGGAACAGGGTTCAGATCAATGAAAACCAAAGACTGATACCGAAAACATAGCAATGTAATACAGATAAACCATAAACTACTTAATCCTGTTGAAGAAACAGAACCAGGATGGAAGCAAAAACAGTTAGTGTTTCTTTAATCAATCTATAGCCATAACGAAATAATTTCATAAATACTGCTAAACCACTAACAAGTGATCCAGCCATTAACCACCAGAAAAACTATAGCCCTCTTTTTTAATAACTCCATAGAAATGAAAACTCAAGTTACATCTAGAGGAAGTAAGAGGCAGAACGAGTACAGTTGCTAAGGCTTCACCTGAAGATTCTCTCTCCTTCGCATACAAACAAAGACAAATAACACTCTCAGCAATTTGGAGTCAGCTGCAACAAAACAATGTTTTTGACACTTGAGGAGCTCAGCCATTCAGTAGTAGGCAGGGATGAATTTACACAACCTAAGGAGTTCAAAAGGAAACTGAAAACAGCAATGCGCTGAATATTGAAAAGACCCACAAGCAGACCAGCATAGCAAAAACATAGCAAAACTGACCAGCAGTAAATTTGATTTGAGAGATAGAACCCTTCTAGCTTCACGCTAAAACTGACCTATGGCAGAATAAAAGGCTATTCCAAACTAAAGACTGGCGGTTCACCAGATCTAAGATCTTGAGAAATGAAGGCCCAATTGTCACTGCATTTTCTCACAGTGGTGAAAGAAACATTGCATTGGATAGCGAAACGGTCATCCTTGAGATACTCCGATTTCTCCAATTCTTCCCTACTGATGAAATCCTTGAGGCCCCAGCAATCTCCACGTGAAAACTTATGCATCCCCACATAACACGGCAACGCTGGCTTGCCAAGCTGATCGAGTAGGCTGAACTGTGATTGCGCTGGGATGAGCTCATCCTGAGAACTAACAAGCGTGAGGTAGAGAGCAATGTGGCACCTATAGGAGTGACCGCCATTTGGGTAACACAGGAGACGCCAGATGTGGCCTCCAACATCGAAGTCACATGATTCAATGCCCTCACCATGGCTGATCGCCTCTTTCAAGCGTGAGTAGCCATCAATCCTCAGAACGTGGGAACCACTCACTGGCTTTGAGACAATAGCAGATGCGGAGCGCAACACTTGTCCAGCTGACAACTGCAACATGGGGGCTGCCATGGAAGTTGTACTGATGGAAGTAACCAGCTGTGCATGCTTCTCAGTTAGCGAAATGTCTTCTTGTCAGATTTTGCCTGAAAGAGATATCGAGTTTTTCAATTTTGATATCTCACCAACAAGGTATGTAGAACACAAGCAATACATGTAATTATCTTAGGAAATCTAAGCCCAGATCAATTTCATTCAATTTGGGCAATTCTAGTTTTTGAAACCGAAGGCAACAAATACAGCCTTGCATATTCAGATGAAGAACGTTGCTTTACAAATCAAGGACAAGAACTTAGATTGCAAAAGGCCAGATTACTAGACGAATTGACAATTAGGGGACATATAATATTATGAAAAATTCGAATTCGACTTCTCACATACCAACTCAAATAACCACCCACATAAATGTGATGGACCCAATTGATGGAATTGAGGCATATTGTTATTTATCAAGCGTTTGGTTAACAAATGTGTCCTCTGATAACAAAATTCTCGACACCAATCAACCAGAGATTACACAAAAACCAGGAAACCTAAAAACATGCTTAGGATGACCATGGTTGATGAGTAGCACACACAGCACGCACTATTGCATTAAGACATGGCGATGAACATTATTACCTAGAGCCAATAGCTACAGCCTGCAAGGATTGCGGGTACGGCCGGACGAAGGCTTGTAGTGGCGGCTGGTCGTGGTCGGGTCAGAGATCCGTCGATGACGTCGCGGCGCACCGGGAATCAAGGATGAGGTACGGTGCTGCCTAGGCAAGGACAACGGCGGCAGCGGCCAGAGGGGGGTTCTGCTTCCCTTGGCACGGACGGCGGCGGTTGAGAACTACCTGGAAGGAGGGAGGAGGATTGAGCTGTTGTTGGGATGCGGAGCAGCCGTAGGCGAGGACACCTCCACACCGGCGACTGCCGAGCCGCCGATGGCGGGACGCCGGCAGTCAGAACCCTACGTGAGATCGCAATTCCGACCACCCCCTACCCACGTGCTCCATTTTGCTTGGTGGGCTGTTGGTGGGCCGGATTTTTTTACCTCACCAAACCATCTTGTTTTTGTTTTGTGGTATATATATGAAAGGAAAAAATATATTATACCTATATGAAGTATTGCTCCTCGAACTCTAAAATCGAACATTTTACTTTTATAAAATCTCAAAATTATTCAAATTACCTCTCTGTCCTAGTTTGGAGTGGGTTTGAAGATAGATCCTTTTTTATTAAAAAATATGGTAAAAAATGTTTTGAGAATTTTCTATTTTTTTATAACTTTTGCATTTTTCTAGAGCTAAGTTTAATTTTTGAAGAATCTAGAGATACTTTCATGAGCTCTAAATATTTTATTTTGATTTGACATATCCCAATCTATCTTTAGAACATTTTTTTGGAATGTTTAAAAGCTTAAAGATATTTTATGTGGTTTAACATATATACCAATTTTTAACTAAACAAAGATGAAACCATGTCAAAACCACTCCAAACTAAGACAGGGAGGTAGTTTGAACGATTTTGACAGTTTAGGAGGTCAAGTATCTAGTTTTGGAGTTAGCCACATGTGCTCCTCTTGTCTCTTCAAAATTTTCCTTTTTAGTTCTTTTATTTTTATTTAAGAATTTCACATTTTTACCCCGCCAAAATAATTTACCGAAATGGACCCTAGACCTTGGTGTCAAATGCAATGGCGCCTAGGTTACACGTCTCAGCGCCATATCCTTTGGCACCGAGCTACAACAATGGCATGGACATGAGGCTTACGTGGCAAGAGGTTCGACCCAAAAGCATATGACATCACCAAGCTCCTGGACCAAGGCACCAAAAGCAAGCGGCGCCTAGCTTGATGCTAAAGGGTGTGGCACCAAGACCTAGAGACTTAATCCCACGCCCAATTGCCTGCTCGGGCACTGTTCCTTCTCTTATCTCTTTGAACAAAACGACAATGGGATGTTTCTCACTCCATACCTCTCGTCCCCTCTCTAATCTATCTAATCTACACCTACCGCTACAAATCTTTGTTTGGATTCGGTGATGCAATGTAATTTCCTCTCCTCCCTTAGTTTTGTCCATGTTTCATTTGAATGATTTGGTTGTAATCCTATGATGAACTTGATAAACAATTTGATTTTGTTTGGTTAGGGATCCAAAATTACTTGGTAGTTTTGCATATTGATGACAAAATGATTTGATTTTATTTGGTTAGGGCTACAAAGATGAGCAATCTGGATGGATGCTCTTACCGAAGGCAAGCAAGCCTGGTGAATGCTCTAACCGAAGGCAAACGATCCGAACGCAAGGTATGGCAGTGACAGTAACGCTCAATTCAGCAACAAAGAACTTGACCTTGATGAAGACCAATAGTAGATAGGTGGAACACAAGAGGCACAACACGGTCGTTGATGCACATATGGGACGACTGTTGTTGTAGCTGCGAGTGCTATCGTGGACATAGGCGTGTCTTTGAAGACGTGTCTCCGCTGGTGGCGACCATGAACGATGGTGTTGCGACCCAAGGAGGCGACGTAGAAGCAGCCCTATTGCTTGGAGTACTCGTGCAGTACTTAAGGACGCGAACATCATAGGATCCTGGTGGATCATGCACAATTGGTTGGTCAGACCGAGTTAAGGACCGTATCTCTATTATAGTGAGTCAGAGTAACCATCGCACAGACCACATGTCATGTATGAGTGTCACAAGCTGAGTATTTAGTGGTGACTAACTAATCACATGGATTCAGCTCGAGATGTAGCTTGGGGTAGCTGGAAAGGGATAGTATCTCGGCTCATCGTCTTACCGTTCATGGATTAGGACCTTGAGACAACCCTTATCAGGGCATGGATATGGAGGTTCGTCTTAGACTTTTGTGTGGGTACAACACACATCTGCTGAGATTTGTTCGAAAGCATGAGTGCCCTCAGACAATACCAGTTGTTCTTACTTCTAGTTTCAAAGTAGTGAGAGAATTTGTGTAACTTTTACTTGAGCTATTCATATGTCTATTTGGTCACTTAATTGCTTTCACTTAATAGGTAGCACCTTGAGCATCGCATACCATGTTTAACTTACCAATCATGCCATGAGTCGGTGCCCGGTCCTCAAGCAACCGAAACCAGTAGCTCAGTTGGTTGGCCAGGCTGCCGATGCACTTGTAGGTTATCATATTCCACATGCACCCATCCAGCCAACAAAGAAGGATTCTAGAATGGCTCTAATATCTACTTCAGGCAAGAACCTATCAGATGAGGAAGTGGCAGTATTTTTGCGGGTGTTGGTTTCTGATACTTTTGCTTGGGATGTTAAACGACACAATGGTTTTGAGTTTAAGGTCCTTTTCCCTACAAAAGGAGATCTTACGAAGATGACAAGGTTCAATGTAGAGATGAAGGAAGGGGTCACTCTCAAATTTCAAGAGTTTAAGGAAGATCAAGAGTATTTTAGCCATGCTCTACCAGTGGTTTGGATGCGAGTCATCAACCTGCCGACAATTCTAAGGGAGTACGTCATTCTGTGGGCACCAGGAACTCTTTTTGGTGTTACCCAGAATGTGGATATGGTGACTACTAGAGCTAGTAACTTTGGGTGGTTTGCAGTGGCAGTGCTAAAACCCGAGGCAATTCCAACCAAACTAGATGTCATCATTGGTAATAGGCACTTTCAGTTGATTTTTAAGGTTGAACCTTATGTACCTTACATTGGGTTGCGGAATATTTGGAACATACAAAATGATGGGAATGAGGATCACGGCAATGGTGCGACAAAAGACACCAAGATGAAGGAGGCACAGAATACTGGGGACACCAATATATCAAATGCAAATGTCGGAAATATAGTAAAGAACAACATCACCGGGAAAGAAGATAAGGTTCCTGAGACGCAGATGGATTTTGATTGGTCAAATGACGATTTGTTAGGAGAGGAGCATGAACTAAATGAATCTGCACGCAATTTTTTAGGAGTAAAAAAAGGAGATCCGGTAAATGTGAGAAATGCGGCAACAATTGCAGCGTCTGGCTCCTCTGGGACTTTGTCAGCACCAGCGCACATGCTGCAGCGACCTTCGTAGTCTGCTAGGCCAGCTGGAAAATTGGTGAACGTTGCCTTGGCGACACAGCCGAGTACTGATGGGAGTTCGGCAAAGGATGGCCTCTTGGGCAGTGCACAGCAACCCACACTGCCGGTTTGTGCTGCTGCAAGTGATTTGAAAAATACATCTCTTGAACAGTCATCCACTATGAATGAGAAGGATCAGGTGCAGATCTCAGTTGGGCAAGTTGATGGGGCAGCAGAAGGGGCATTTGCAGATGGTGCTCAACACCTTGGTGCTCTTCTTGATGCCATGTTAGGCGCTGGAGTGACAGCTGATGGTGAGTCAAAAAAATGATTTGGGTAGTGTCATGAAAATGGCGGTTCCATCAGATGGAGAGCTAACCCCCAGTACGGCGGAGCAAACAGAATGCGGACATGGTTGATGTGGACTCTCTGGAGAAAGCAGAAAGAAGAGTTGTTGTCAAGAACCTCGAGGAACCCCAAGGTAATTTAAATGATAAACCAATTTGTTTATTTCCTAATGTTCGTATTAAGGATAACTTAGGGGGAGTGGGCATTAGTTTGGGTAACAAAGATGATTCAACTATCGAGTCTATTACTCTTTTAAAAAAATATTGAAAGGGAGAGACTGAAACCATCTCTTTGTTTGAACAAAGGTGAGAATGAAATTGATTCTGAGGAGGATGAGATCGATCTTGACACCTTCACCATAAGTCGACTCTGTGGCAACTTAACGGATGAGGTGATGGACGATAATAGTGCGGACCTCGATGGAGTACTTGTAGATGTACCCATCAAGGTGGCAAAAAGCAAAAAAAAAAAGAAACTTCTCAATAAGAATGCAGCTGCAAGGAAAAAATAGTATTTTAATGAAAGGTTTATTCTGAAATTGTAGAGGGCTGCACGATTTAGCTAAACACACATTTTTACATGATGTGGCTGGGGATAACAAACTTGATTTCATAGCTCTATCAGAGACCAACAAAAATAGTTTTCGGCTCAGTGTCTAGAAAACTTTTGTGCGGGGGCTGATTTTGTTTGGCATTAGCGGTGTCCTCGGGGTATTTCTGGGGGAATGCTAATGGGAATAAATCAAGGTTATTTTGAAATAGAGAACTTTGAGGATGGTGATTACCATATCAAGTTTGTCATAAAAAATAAAACAGATGGTTTTCAATGGGCTCTATTGTCTGTATATGGTGCAGCACAAGAAGAGCACAAAGAACACTTTCTATCAGAGTTAGTACGAGCTTGTACTAGCTGTGGGGATCTACCCTTCTTAGTAGGGGGAGATTTCAATATCATTAGGAACCCATAAAAAAAAACAATTCAAGATATAATAATAAATGACCACTTTTGTTTAATGTTATTATTGAAATGCTGAATTTGAGAGAGCTAGAGTTGACAGGTAGGAAATACACGTGGGCAAACTATGCAGAGGTTCCAACATATGAAAAGTCGGACCGTATCTTAGTAACAACAGATTGGGAACAAAACTTTCCATTAGCTTCTGTTCGGGCACTTACCCAAGAGATCTCAGATCATACACCTCTTTTACTAGATAGTGGTGAACCATCTCATAGAGGCAATATTATGAATTTTAAGTTCGAACTAGGGTGGCTAACAAGAGATGATTTCTTTGGTCTGGTCAAAGAGGTGTGGGAATATGAGAATAGGGGTCAGTCACCCATGGAGAAATGGCAAAACAAAATTAGAAGGTTACGACGTTTCCTGAGAGGTTGGGCTAGGAACTTGTCTTCACAAAATAAGAAACATAAATCTAACCTGTTGACTAAGATAGATGACCTAGCCAGAAAGGCAGAGACGATTTTGTTGTCACCTCAAGAGGTGGAACTTAGACATCATCTCAAAGGGCAATTAACTAAGTTGCTGAGAGAGCAGGAGATTTATTGGCTCCAACGATCAAAAGCAACAAAGTTATTGCAAGGAGATGATAATACTAAGTACTTTCATCTAGTGGCAAATGGGAGACATAGGAAAACAAAAATTGTCCAACTAGAACAAGAAGAATGAACGATTGTTGGAGATGGGAAATTAAAAAATATATATAACTGGGTACTATAAAGGACTGTTTGGACCTCGTACACAGAATTCGTTCTCAATGGACGAGACTTTGAGGCATGACATACCTCAAATGTCAGAGGACGAGAATGAGGTTTTGACGGCTCCATTCAACGAGGAGGAAATTAAAATGGCAGTTTTTGATATGGAACATAACAAAGCACCCGGTCCAGATGGTATCCCCGTAGAATTTTACCAATTTTTTTGGGAGGATGTAAAGCCGGATTTGATGAATCTTTTTTATGAATTCCATGCTGGGAGACTACCTATCCACAACCTAAATTTTGGGGTAATTACATTACTACCAAAGATTGCTGATACGGCCCAGATACAACAATACAGACTAATTTATTTATTAAATGTGAGTTTTAAGATTTTCACGAAAGTGCTAAATAATAGGATTTTGAAAGTGGCAGATAAGCTTATAGGACCATCGTAGACGGCCTTTATCCTAGGACGCTATATAATGGAAGGAGTGGTTATGTTGCATGAAACGATCCATGAGTTACATAGGAAAAAACAAGATGGTGTGATCTTAAAACTAGATTTCGAAAAGCTTATGACAAATTAAAGTGGCCTTTTATACAATAGGTCCTCAGAATGAAAGGATTCTCACCAATTTGGTGTGAATGAATTTCAAAAGTCATGTCTAGAGGGAGTGTTGCAGTAAAGGTCAATGATAATGTAGGCCACTATTTTCAAACTAGAAAAGGAGTGCAGCACGGGGATCCGTTATCTCCAATTCTGTTTAATATAGTGGTTGACATGTTGGCTATCCTTATTTCATGAGCTAAAGAGGTTGATCAAATCCAAGGGGTTGTTCCGCATTTGGTAGATGAGAGACTTTCAATCCTTCAGTATGCAGATGACACTGTCATCTTTATGGGCAATGATCTAGAGAAGGCCAAAAACATGAAGCTTTTACTTTGTGCTTTTGAACAGCTATCAGGACTCAAGATCAATTTTCATAAGAGCGAATTGTTTTGCTACGGAACAGCCAAAGCCAACCAAAACGAATATACACAAATTTTTAGGTATGATTTAGGGTCGTTTCCTTTTAGTTATCTAGGAATTTCTATACATCATAGAAAGCTAATGAATAAGGACCGAAAGCATATTGAAGAACGTTTTCAAAAGGGGCTGAATTGTTGGAGAAGTAAAATGTTATCGTTAGGAGAGAGGCTTGTTCTGATTAACTCTGTCTTGAGTAGCCTCCCCATGCTCATGCTTTCCTTTTTTGAAATACCTAGAGGGGTTTTGAAGAAGTTGAACTATTTTAGGTCATGGTTTTTTGGATGAACACAAGAAAAAATATAGATTGACTAAGTGGGAGGTAGTATGTACGCGGAAAGATCAAGGAGGGTTGGGAGTTCTAAACTTAGACGTTCATAACAAATGTCTCCTAAGCAATTGGTTGTTTAGGTTACTAAATGAAGATGGGGTCCGGCAATAATTGCTTAGGAATAAGTATTTAAGAGACAAAACTTTGACACAGGTTCAATACTTGCCTAGAGACTCCTAGTTTTGGGCTGGTCTAATGAAGGTCAAGGAGGAGTTCCTCTCGTTGGACAAGTTTGATCTAGGTGACGGATCTCAAGTGCGATTTTGGGAGGACTCGTGAATAAGACCACGTCCTTTAAAATCTCTCTTTCCCGCATTATATAATATTGTTAGGAGAAAAGGCGCATATGTAAGAACGGTGTTGTCTATGACGTCGTTAAATGTGGCTTTCAGGAGATCTCTGGTAGATGTTAATTTACAAGCGTGGCACGATGTGGTTGCTATGGTTGCAGATGTACAGTTAACAAACCATAGGGATCGTTTTGTGTAGGGTCTACATCAGAATGGATTGTTTTCAGGCAAATCCATGTACAGAGCCTTATTAGGAGTTGAAGCTATACCATATAACACATTTATATGGAAACTAAAACTACCTCTCAAAATTAAAGTAATTTTGTGGTATTTGTATAAGGGAGTAGTCTTAACAAAGGACAATTTAGCAAGGCGGCAATGGCAAGGGGATAGAAAGTGTTGTTTCTGTTCTTCTGACGAGTCTATACAACATCTATTCTTTGATTGTCATTTTGCTAAATTCGTGTGGCAAACTGTTCATGTTTCCTTTAATTTAATTCCTCCAACTAGCATTCATAATTTGTTTACAAGCTGGTTACACGGGATAAATAGGAAACTGAAATCTAAGATTCTTGTGGGTGCAAGTGCAATTTGTTGGACGATATGGTTAACCTGGAATGATATAATTTTTGACAAGGCCGCAACACCATCTTATTTGCAGGTTATCTTCAGGGGGACCTATTGGACCAGGTCCTGATCTCTATTACAGAAGAGGAGGATCACCAAATGATGAAGATGGGATGCAGAAATATTGAGACAACCGCGATGAAGGTGTTTACAAGACACGGTTAGAAATTTAGTAATAGAATTGCTATTTAGATATTGAGTTTGCAAACCTTTCTTTTATTCATTTTGGATCAAAACTTTGTGTTTGAGATTGCGTGGACCACAGTGCTTGTGTTGTAATAAGGAACAACTATATGCATTGGTCGATGCAGAAGCTGGGATATTAATATATTCTTTTTTCTAAAAAATGCTTTATGCAATGATTGCAAATTCCTAATAATTATATCTCTTTGTATCCATCAAATATTTATTTTGGAATAAACCCTATGTGTATAATTTATACTCATCGTTAAGCTATTTTTAGGTGTTAAAGGCTCGGTGATTACTCATGCCAAACTTGAGTGAAGTTGATGGCCTAGCAGAGCAAGGGATGGGAGTCCCCGTGGGCTGCGGTTACTTTGATGGAGCTAAGTATAACGCGAGTAGACATTAGGACCTGGGTTATGCTTAATAGTTGGATTTGTTAGATATGAACAAGTAAATCATTTGAATATTTCATTTTATACAAACTGTAAAGTTGCTAAATGTTGTTGAGTGCCATTCCTTTGCACGTTGTTGAGTGCAATTCCGTTGCGCTATGATTCTTGATGGTGGTTCTCGTAGTGTGGTTTACTACAACTTAATCCTACAGTAAGCTGCACTAGTGGAGTTCGTTGATGGCGACTCCAGGAATCCTTCTGCGACCGTTGGGTTAGTGCCGTGTTAGTCGACAGGACGACATGTGGTACTTGACGGGCGGCCGGGATGGAGTCCTCGTACTATCGTAGTCATGATATACTTATAACACTTCGAAGGACAGCAAGAAAGGAGAAAGAAATTCCAAGAATGAGGTCCCGGAGGTGGGGACAATGGTGATCGGGTAATCAGAGAGAATTGGGCTCTCCAACATAGAGGATGTTGTTGTTGTGTGGCAGCTGGCAGGTGGCAATGGCAACAACAAAGCCAGTGAGAGGCAGGATGGGAATAGGAAGAAGAAATTTATGCCCCTTGAAATCCTTGGTTATCTGCTAGATAAGCCTAACTGATTTACCCCATACATCAAACACCACATTCCAAGAAAACACCAACAACAAATGGCTCAAAAATTGGCTACAAGAAAATTTTATGCAACATACAATCGGATATACGTAATTACGACGCTCAGTGCTCCAATTAGTGCCTTACAAATGGAACAACTTTGTTGAGTGGGCAAACCTTTGCTGAATCCAGCATGATGCACGGAGTAGAGGACATTGTATGCATCGAGGCAAAAAAACCTAAACTAAACCAAAAATCAATGACGACAAACAAAACCACCTTAATTTGTGTTAATTAGAATCTGACAGCATGTGAAGCAGCATGTCGTTCCATGCGTCGATGGGC